ACCAAATACACAAAATAATGATCTTTAAAAAAGCATCATATGACCCCTTTAATTTATTTAATATTAGTTACTTTGTTACATCAGCTTGCGCAGATAAACTCCACCCAGCACGTACGTCAGTGAAGAAGCCTCGCCCATCGAACGTCAATCATTTCTTCCACCAATCACATGCGTTCCTAAAACGTAGAGAAGGCGGAGTCAAGTTGTCTAATTCGAGCCCTCCCTCAAGTAACCGTCTCAACGCTATTTTAAATCTTTTTTATCGTTATTTATTTCAACCAGCGCATAGATTCACATAACTGGGATACGTAATAATTTTAAGCCTAATACCTCGATAAATTTCTTTTAAGAAATAGTTCACTGATAACAGTGCCGCATTACCGGTGTTACGAGATTTTCGGTTTCCGAGATTTTCGGTTTCAGTGGGGTGTTAGAGGGTCAAATATAGATGGAAACTAAACTGTTAGGAAATGATAAACAAATGTAGTTTGTGCAACACTGTAAATATATTTACCTTTTTTTTAAAATATATATATATCCCATTAAAACTGCTGAGATACAAGGAGCGTGAACTGAAATTCTCAGTTCCACCTGGTTCCACGCGCATGTCCGGGAAACGTATGAATATTCATGTCTGCTCCGCCCACTGAAACCGAAAATCTCGGAAACCGAAAATCTCGTAACACCGGGCTCGCAGAGATCCGCGTGCATGTAAACATGGGCACGTCAGCGCGCGATTAACGTTTCCCGGTACTGGAGATGGATATTTGTTTTTAAACTCAGGTAATTGTCATCTCATAATGCTTTAAATTACTGTATCGGCTGGACTCGACACTGAATGTACGCTAAACATTTCGTTTTACGCTCCGCAAAAAGTGGCTGCGTCTCAAAACCTAGTGGGCTCCCTATCTGTGTAGCGTTTTTAGATTTAACAGTGTTTTCTATGTAGGCAGCTTATTATGTTTTGAGCAACACCCTTGGATACCGGGTGTTGTTGTTACTGACAGTAACCGGCTGCAACCGGTTCAGACCGTGTTGATTTTGCTTCCTCGACTCAAACAGTTGAGCTTCATCAAACGTGGCGAAAGCTTCCGTTCAACTCTCAAGATCGTGTTTAGATTCAAGGACCAGCCATACCATCATTACCCTCTCTAATATTGCGTCCAGCAGTAGTAGAAACTATTTCTGTTGATGTTTAGGGCGTATCAAAAAACATTTGTAATGTAACGTATTCTTAAAGAAGCAGGAAGTGGTTTAAAAGTGCACAGCAGTTCTACAGGCAGGTATCAGACCACAGATCATCTGATGCTGTTAACTTGGCATAGATTTGTTTTGCACCGGGGATCAGATGTGTTTCTTTCCCTCTGTGTTTTAGGTCACTTCATTCTCTTCTCCATCCGCCTGAGTGTCAGTCATGGACAGCACTAAAGTCACTCTGACAGTGAGAGGGAACACAGCAATGGGTAAGAGGAATAATTAAATAAAAGTATAACACCGTGTACAGCTTTCAACAATAAGTCATTACCAATTATATTATCAATCAGAAGTTCAATTGTGAAATATGTATTCATATTCTTTTAGCCACTTACTAATTGTGTAATTTTAAAAGTTCTTATTAATAAAAACAAATCAAGACAGTCTAATTAAAATAATGTAAATGTGACATTTTGGAATTGTCGGAGTGTGTTCTGATACTATGATTGACCAACATGCTATATAGATTTAATATTTTGAGGTAATTTAGTTTAAAGAAGTTGCAACATTGATGCTTTATTCATAGAACTGAGAACATCCCGTTGAACTTGAGTAAAATAATGACAATTTCAGATTTTTAAGTCACTTGGTTTGCATGCTGTTTTAAACTTGGTCAACCAGTTTTACCGTGTTTTATGGTTCTAGTTATTTAAGTACATTGTTTGATGTGATTTAAAGCATTATATAATGTGATGTAATAATGTGATTGTTATTAATTAAAGTTATTCTGTTATACATTACATTTACATTTGATTATTTTAGCAGACACGCTTATCCACAGAGTAACAGGTTTTTATAAAGTGTTGTTATAAAGCATTTATAAAATGTTAACAATTGAAATGTAATATTTGGTTGAATAAAGTAATGTTTAGTTAATAATAAGTGTTGTTAAGTTATTATTAAATTCAGCATAGATCAGTAATCTTTTGTGCATTTTTAACAAATGCTGACTTAAATTTTTATGGATGAACATTTATGAAAGTGTTTTTTTTTTTCAGAAAATATATTAATTGGCATTTTTAAAAAGGTTTATCCTGGAATAACTTTAGAATTTTAAACATACATTACATTGAAAAATTCAATATTATTGCTATTATTACCTTTGTTATTATTGATGATTTATGTATGCATGTATATTTTTGTATTTTGGTTGTTAAGATAAAATTGTTAAATTATGTTAAACAATGTGTTGAAATTATATTGTAAGCATAATACTGCTGATTTAGCGATAGATGTGGCATTTATTCTAAATGAATAAATAAATAAAATAATTTAATAATGTGCTAATGCTATTAAAGAAACGTATTACAGAGTCTCACCATTAAAAGTGTATTTTTGGTATAGGTGTAATATAGAAATTAATAATACAAGAAATGTTTTGGTAATAATAAGCATTATTATTTTAACCATGCATTATTGCATCACAAATACAACCCGTGTCTGTATTTATTGTATTGCAAATTCTGACATATGATACTTAAATATGATAAAAAGGTTGAAAAGAATGTAATATTCTGTATTACCTGGAGACACATTCCTTTGCTTAGCACAAAGGAGAGAAATAAACTATTTTGTTTCTTTATCAGGTGAGGTGATCGCAGTAGTTGGCAGTTGTGAAACCCTGGGCAGCTGGTGTCATCAAAAAGCCGTGACCCTACAGCCAGCAGAGGAGGATGGGTACAAGTGCAATGCCATCTTGTGTTTGCCTTCCAGCACATGCACAGTTACCCTTGACCCACATATTTGTCTTCTGTGTCTGGTCTCACCCCAGCACCCTGTGGAGAGCAACCGTTCAGGTTCCTAGAGGGGGTGAAACCAAATATCGCTATTTCAAGGGATTCATTTTGGAATCTAAGGTGAGATTTTCTTTTCCTAGTAAACAAACATGATAGAAGTGATTTCTGGAAGGTTCACACACATTAATCTTTAAAGGTCCAATAATGAATTGATTACCCAACACCTTTAAAGAGCAGTCTCAGCTTGTATATGTATTTATAGATGTTGTTGGTTATAATTCTGTTAGGGTCCATTCACACAGAACAGATTCAAAAACATGAGACGTGGGCAGTGGAATAAGGAAAAAGCTCTTGGCCTTGAGATATGTTTTTTTAAAAGTTGAACTTATTGAACTTGAACGCCGTGTTTTTAGAGCGACATGTTTTGCAAGAGACGCTGAAAAAGATATGATCACCACCGGTCAAACACGAATGCAAAATGATGGAAAAACAGCACAATGAAATATAAAAATCTGTTCTGTGTGAATGGCCTCTTAAAGGCATATCAGAATCTATGCAGTATCTGTTTGTGATATACATTTGTGGTTTTCTTGAGTATGTCCAGCTGTTTTATTATACCTGTATGATTGTAGATTTTCTTTAGAGAGTTCTTTCACATGTGGGATATGTGGGTTGTCTTTTTCAAACATTCCTCAAGGGCTTTCTTTTAATCATCTTTATTTCTTAGGGTACAAGTAATTAAATGTAATATTCTTTAAGTTGTTGAAATCCTTCTGCGTGAGTGTGTGTGGGGTTTCCAGGTCATTCTCCCCACAGCTGTTAATCTCTTTTTAGCTGGACTCCACTCAGTTCTGGGTAGTTTTTGTTTTTGTTTTTCTTGTTTTTCTTGGAGAATGACATTTCTGGAACAGGTTTCCTGCGAGCCCCTCCTAACATGCTGTGTCCTTCACACATAATATTTACACTTTAGCTGTTATCTCACGGCCAGAAATATTCTTTTAGAATTTATAGCGGAAATATTTTCACCAAGAATTAAGAATTTAGAAACAGGTATTCATAGTTAGGGAAGTATTAACTCATTTCAAGTAATCTCATTTTAAGGTGGTAAGTACAAGGATTTTCAAAGCTTTTTTTTACGTATATATAAATAACCGGGAGATCTCTAGTTAAACACTGTGAAAAATGCCAATTTGTTTCTTCTGACTAATCAGTCCACTTTTCAGATGTCAACCAACTGGCTGGCTGGCAGAAAGTGGTGACTATATCTCATATTCTTTTTTCGGGAGTGAGACTTTGGTTTGAATGGCCAAAGTGGGCTTTGTTTTTCCAAAATCTGTCCATAATCATAACCCCCATTTGGAATTACAGAATGCAGGTGGGCCATGTCAAGTCATAGTCAGTAGATGGGAGACCCATCAGCTGCCACGCTCATTGAGTCCCTCAGGTATTTGATCCCAGAATAGTCCACACGTTTGAGTGTCTAATGCAACCCGTAGACTCCTTCCTCATTCTTATTACATTCAGATCAGTTTGTCCCCTTTAACTCTAAGCGTACATTATCAATACATGCTGACTTCAGCTTTTTTAAAGACAACATGAAACATTCACAACACATTTCACGTTTGAAAAATGACATATGTCCACTTATTTCCTAATGAAACTAGTGGAAAGTAATGTGATATGGACTTGATTTTACCTCTCAGAACATTGGATCTTAGAGTGGCCATGATTGTTGTTGGTTAATATTATTTTCCCCTATGACAAATAACACTAAAATCAACATTAAAGACAACATGGAATCAAAATGTATTATTTTCTTCATAAAATACATCAATGAATCATGCACATTAAGACGGCAACATTTATTTTTGAAAGTAAGTAACCCTATTTACTTTATAAATAAATGCATCTGGTCTTATTGCGCATGAATCATTGATGCATGTTCTAAAGAAAATAATACATTTTGATTTCATGTTGTCTTTAATGTTGATTTTAGTGTTATTTGTCATGGACAGATGTAATGTCAATAAAAGCCACTTAAGGGATCTAATGGAACCTAATTATTAGAAACCATAACATTTAGTGGACTATTACTCCTCATAGACAAACAGAGCGAAGCAGTTTTCACTGGCACATTCTTGGGTTTACAAGCAATGCTTTTTTTCTTTGCCTTCCCCTAACTTAGCCACTTTACATTTTTGAGTTTAATTCTTTTAAAAAAAGTTTTTTTTATTTTTTTATAATTGCGTTCATTTTTAATTGTTGATTTTTACATTAGAAACTACATTTAACATTTTTTATTTTAAAGCACACATGCATTTAACACTCCATTATTTACATGCACAACACACATTTTTTTATTATTTTGAGTTCATTTTTATATTTAAACCATTGTAAAGGATGTATTAAATGCTCTTTTATTTACAAGCACAACGCATTTTTTTTCTTTGAAATTTATTTATTTATTTTTTGTTAAATAATTGCTTTAATTATCTTGAGTTGATTTTTATATTAAAAACTACGTTAAACTCTATTGTAAAGCACACATGTATTTAACGTTTCTTTATTTACATGCACAACGGACATTTAACACGCATGCATTTAACAAACTATGCAAAACAATATATTTTAAGGGCATCTATAGTTTTTTTTTTTTTTTAGTTTTTACTAGGCAGAGTCCATCATTTTAATCATGTAACTGTTTACTCCAGATGTTATGTGTTATGTTCCTTAAAAGTTTGTCAGCATTTCTTTATGCTTGTGTTGCCACAAAACAATTTGCTTGCATGGTAACACTTGCCGAATTATGCATTTAGATTATTGTTACCTTTTGGCAACCAATTAATAATCCTTTTATAATTATCTTTTTTATAATTATGTTACACTTAAATTCTAACATGGCCAGTTTTTGCTTGTATAAAATACAGGCTACAAACGTTTAGAGCACCAGGCAGTACAGAGCAAACTGAACACTTCTTTTATCTGTATATTTTGATTGTTTAAGAAACAAACCAAAAAATGAATGTCTCATGCCAGCAATGGAAAATGTGTTGGTGTCAATTTGCTCTGTACTGGTACCTCTCAACTATAGATATATATAACTGTAGATGTGTAGCAGGAGCAGCTGACTTTCCATATTAAATTTGGTTATGTCTTGCAGAACCAGAGCTTGTGATTGACGATGGACATTTTGGAATCCATAGTAAGTTTGATCATTTAAACAAATAAACTTTAGTTTTAATGTAAAACAAAACATTATCATGTCATCTTACTTTAATATGCAAATAAAATGTGTTTGATCTGCAGGTGGTGTTGAGTGTGTGGACTCTGGCTGGTTGACGTGCCAGACAGAAATTCGTCTCAGGCTTCATTACTCTGTGAAACCTCCAGTATCTATTACTAAGAAACAATTTAAGAAATCACGCTTCAGGTAATATCCTTCACAGAATACATATTTAACTCCTAGAAAACTTCAAGGTCAGTCAGTCACATTTATTCATAAAGGTCATTAGAAATCCGTTGGAATCACCTGAAAAAACAATTACTAGTCAAATTGATCTGTTAATTAATGGTAGGGATGCAAAATGTTGCAAGCAGTTTAGTAGGGCTTATTTTTCCAATTCAAACACTATATTTTCTTCTAGACCACGTACTAAACATTTATTTGTCTTTTCAAATTCACATTATACTGTTTTGATGGCCGATTTGAAAGAAAATAATAAAATATAATTCATCCAATCAATGGCTGCCTTAGATTGAAGCTGATGCTTGAAGGTTTTGAGGAGGATGAAGAGGAAAGCCCTTCATCATTGCATAAGATGACCACTACGCTGGAGACCAGTATGATCAGTGACAGCGATTATAAGTCTCGTCATTCCCAGCCAGAATGTGGATACGCCCTTGAACCCTCCCAGTGGACCGAATACAGTATTCACACCATGGACCCCGACAACCTAGAGCTCACCTTTGAGTTCTTTGAGGTACGGAAACCTTTGGTATTGTTTAATAGGAAGATTTTGACCACAACTGCATCACAAAGCATTTTGATGGAGGTTTTTTTTTTATTAAAGGGGTCATATGATGCGATTTCAATTTTTCCTTTCTCTTTGGAGTGTTACAAGCTCTTGGTGCATAAAGAAGATCTGTAAAGTTGCAAAGACTAAAGTCTCAAATCCAAAGAGATATTCTTTATAAAAGTTAAGAGTCAACCACACCTACCTAAAACGGCTCGTTCTAACACACCCCACATACCTACGTCACTATCTGGGAAGAGTTGCATAACGCCGCCCAAATAGTGACGTAGGTATGTGGGGGCGTGTTAGAACGAGCCGTTTTAGGTAGGTGTGGCTGACTCTTAACTTTTATAAAGAATATCTCTTTGGATTTAAGACTTCGGATTTGAGACTTTAGTCTTTGCAACTTTACAGATCTTCTTTATGCACCAAGAGCTTGTAACACTCCAAAGAGAAAGGAAAAATTGAAATCGCATCATATGACACCTTTAAAATATACTGCAAAACATTCTAATATATAATTATAAATATTATAACAAATAAAAAAGTTATAGTATAAAACAAAAAAATATATAAAAATAATTAGGAAGAGTTCAAAATATAATATGAAACATTACAAAAATTTAGAAAATTATAAAAATTTAAAAGTTTTGTTTTATAGCTCTATAATCTAACTTGTGAATCAACGCTGTACTGTTTAATGTTTTGATTTTTGTACTGGAAAATGACAACAACAAGAGGAGCATCATTTATTTGAGAGCATTAAACGTCAAACAGAAGGCGTGTCGCCCGGCCTGAGGGCGGAGCCTCTAATCGTGATTGACAGCTCTCCGTCCGGACAGGCGGGATTAAAGCAATCAATCACATAAAGCCGTGAGGTAAAAACTACAGGAACATGAATTCAATTGAGCGAGAGAGACACAGAAAGAGCTGAAGAAATATTGAAGGCCATTAGCGCCGGAGAGCAGAGAACACGCGAGGATTCAGATGCGGCCGTGCCATAAATTCATATCAAATGACTGTTGAAGGGCTGCGTGTGAAAACACGGCCGCGGTCAAGGACGACTCTACCGTCAAACACACGCTTCAGTTTCAGCTCCATCCATCCTTCACTCACTCACACACACACACACACACATAAGTTGTATTTACAACACTGTTCCAAAACACTTCAACCCAAATATTCAGATGTGTGCAGCACATTTTATGGAGGACCGTTGCTGGCCAATCACAGCACACCTTGCTTTTTCAGACCGATGAGCTTTGTAAAAATCGACGCGTTTCGGAAAGGCGGGGCATAGAGGAGAAACAATAATGTACAGTATGTGGAAAATAATGTATTTTTTTAACCTTAAACCGCATAAACACATTTCATTACACTAAATACACAAAATAATGTTCTTTTTAGCAGCATCATATGACCCCTTTAAATTTACATTCATTTTGCATGAATCCTGTTGGTGACTTATGGCTGTTTTGTCACATCTCTGTTGTTTAGGAGGACCTGAGTGAGACCGTGGTTCAGGGTGATGTCCATCCAGGCTACGTGGGCACCGCATGCCTCTTGTCATCTTCTTTCGTGGAGAGTGGCAAAGATCAGGGTGTGGTCACACTACCCATCATGAGCCGAAATGCCAGACAGACAATTGGAAAAGTTAGAGGTATAATCAGTACCACAATGCACTGACGTTCAAAGTCTAAACATCTCATTTGTACACCATAAAACTAATGCACATTCCTGCCGCCCATGATGGAATCTGTTCTTTCACTGCATGCACACAACATTTGCCTCTGTAAACACGTCACAGACTGATAAAGGGTAAATAAAGGGTAAAGTATCATGCTGGCGAGATCCACGCTGCTTGAATTGTTGCTAAGTAGCTAGATAATGTGATTATGATGCCATTCATTTATTGATGTGCTCATTTCATTAAATGTAGGCAACGTTTACACTAGTGCGTTTTCGTTTTAAAACTGCGTTTTAAAATGAAAATGATCCTTGTTTTCACTGCATTTCAGAAACGATCTCCGTCCACACTACAAAACCGAAAACGCAGGTCACATGACCATTCATGCAGGCACAACAATGAGCATGATGTTATTGTTTACACGGTCTTCAAGGATACACAGAGCGAATGTGGGCAGCACACCATCATTTTCAAAAGCCTCTGTTTTGGTCCGTTTACACTGAAACACAACCCCAGAGTTTTCAAACTAAAACGGGGTCTGCAGCGTTTTTGAAAGGCTCTGTTTTCAAGGGTCGAAAACGCCGGAGTAGTGTAAACAACAGGCGTAACCGTAGCAAAAGTTATGCGTTTTAAAATGAAAACGCACTAGTGTAAACGTAGCCTTAAGCATTAAGTGTTGACTTCACTAATGTAAATGATTAAGTATTGACTAAAGTAAATGCTTTTATTCTTGATGGGATTTCAGTGGATTACTTGGTGACACGTCCTATTCAAGACTTTCAGTGTGACATGAGGCAGTCTTTTACCAAATACTGGAAGAAAAGGAGCGCTTTGGATGTTGGACACAGAGGAGCAGGAAGCACACTTGCTCCCAAGTGAGTAGCAACAGGGTGGATGATCGGCATGTCGGCATGCTGCTACAAGAATCCTAAACCTGTCCGCTTGGATTTAGTGTTTGTCCTTATGGGTAGGCCCACAAGGCATCTGCAAGATTTTTACAGAGGGGAAAAGTGATGTCTGTGTCACATTTCACCAAAATTAAAAGTGGTATTTTCTCCTAATTACCCTAATTTTTAGGATCATTAAGATTTTGCATTGCAAATTAGGCAGGAGGAATATGTGCTTTATTGTCATAATAATAATGTCAATAATGCAAAAAAAGGTTAATGGTCTTGCAAATTAATATTTTTTATTTAACTACAATTTTCAATTACAAATAGTTACAATTACTATTTCACAATAGTAAAATCCATTCAGATCCCCTGACAATTTGCACTGAAATTGTAAGTAAAAAAAAATAAAAATTTGACCTCAGTCCTGTTTTTTTTGTTGTTGTTGTTTTTTTTTAAGTTTAACAAATGTTGCTTTTCAGTCATCTAAGGTGTGTATTGACTCTTGAATTTTTGTACAGCCTATGTAACAGGCTCTGTAAAAAAACTGTAAAGTATGAAAACACAACAAGCACACCTGAGGGTTGCTGCATGAACAGAGTTTGAGAGAGAAGTGCATGTTTAACAGAAAGAAATATGTTGCTGAAAGAAAATACAATTCTCTTTTATTTCAGACATCACAAGATAAGGGAAAACACAATTGCCTCATTTCTAAGTGCAGCCAACCATGTGAGTGTAAATAAAGAATGCAACTCAACCAAAATGCATAAAATTTTGTTATATGAAATATAAGGCTATGGCATATCTGTTTTTTTTTTTCACAGGGAGCTGCTTATGTAGAGTTTGATGTTCATCTATCTGAAGATTTAGTTCCAATCGTGTACCACGATCTCACCTGCTGCATTTCTATTAAAAAGGTAACATTTACATTTTGCTCCTATTACTTGACAGTGAAAAGTCACTATTTGAAAATATCATTTCAACAACTCATTTTGTGTCCTTCAGTGTAGCTTTTGTTTTGACTCCGATTGAAGACTTCCTACTTAAACCTTTCAAATTCAGACTTGAACAGTCATAAACTCTGATTAAAACTGCAAAACAAAAGGAAGAAGGATAATATCTTCCCTTGTGCTTTACATTTCTTGTGTTCTTTTATAGAAAACTGACAAGAACTCAATGGTATTGTTCGAAGTTCCTGTCAAGGATCTTACGTTTGATCAACTTCAGCTTTTAAAAGTAAGACTTATTTCACATTCTTTTACTGTGATTGATCAATGAAATGCAATTATCTCCATGTTGATATTGATGAGTGCTCATGTGTTTGTCTTTCTCAGCTCGTCCACACAACTGCCATGGAAGTTCATGACCACAAAGGTAGAATTTGATTGATTTGTGTCACAAAAGTACAATACAAATGCAGATCATTATATAACAACTTGTCAAACTAGCTGATGGCTTTAATGACAGATTAATGTGCAGTGTTTTGTCTGTTTAGGTTTTGTTGAAGAAGAGTGTACCTATAGAGAGCAATAGTCAGGTTCCAAAAATCAAAATCTCCATAATGATTTTTTTTAGCGATAAGTATTAAATCTTTCAAGACAGACCAGTTATTAGCTTTGAGTTTGTTAAATAATGTTTTATGCCTATTTCACCTAACGTTAGTTAGGATGTGCATTAAATACATTAAATGACAAAAAAAAAAAAAAAGATTTATTGCATCGTGGGATAGTTTTGTAGTTTAAAAAAAAAAATACAAAATCTTTTTTTGCTGCAAATCAGTGTTGTTATTCATCTCGGATCTGGTTGGTATGGTTTATGGCTTAAAACCCAAGCCTCTGTTGAGCTGTATCGAGCTAAATAAACAGTTAACTGTTGAATAGATAAAGATGATTGTGTGGTGTTGCTTTGTCTAGACTTGCAGGATGAAGAGGTGTATATAGATGAGCACCAGTCTTTCCCTTCCCTTTCACAGGTATGACAGCTTTATCTTTTCATATAAAACTTTGACCTCAGGAATATATATATATATATATATATATTTTTTTTTTTGTAGTTTTAAGTAACTTTTTCACCTCTTTTATCAACCAAAATTTTAAGAAAATTGTGATAAATATTTGCTTATATTGCCCACCTGTACTGCTTGGTTAACCTCTTTTCTCATTTGATGTCATGTTCCAGATATTCCAGGCTGTTCCAGATCATGTGGGATTCAACATTGAGCTGAAGTGGATTTCTCAGTTCAAGGTTTGTGTTGCCTAAAGTGATGTGTGCGTTGGTTTGATCTCAGTGTTACCGGAGAGAAAAACACCCTCATTGTATTTGTTTCTCCAAACAGGATGGCTCCTGGGATGGTAAACTCTCCTCCTACTTCAACATGAATCAGTTCTTGGATATCATCCTCACCTGTGTGCTGCAGAACGCCGGCAATAGGAGAATAGTCTTTTCATGTTTTGATCCTGATGTTTGCACAATGTAAGAGGCCTTGTTCACATGCATATTCTATAAATGCACTGATTTTTAAGGTTATATATATTTACTATAGCAGCCAATTTAAGCACAGTATAAACCAACAATATGTTTTTTTTTAAATGTACAATATGTCCAGGGACATTTATTAAAGAAACAGTCCACTTAGAAATGAAAATTGGCTGAAATTTCTCAGGCCATCCAAGATGTAGATGAGTTTGTGAAATGTAGCATTGCATCATTTGCTCACCAATGGATCCTCTGCAGTGAATGGGTGCCATCAGAATGAGAGTCCAAACAGCTGATAAAAACATCACAATAACCCATAAGTAATCCACACTACTGCAGTCCATCAATTAATGTCATAAATCGAAAAGCTGCATGTGTTGTGACAAACATAAAGATTCATCATCAAGATGTTTTTAACTTCAAACTGTTTCTTCAAACTAAAATACAAGTCCATAATCTATAATATTGCTTTCTCCAGTGAAAAAGTCATCTAGTCTGAATCAGGAGAGAAATATGCACAAATCAAGGACCTTTTACACATTTCTAAGCAAATATGTTGGTGGATTTTGATGTGAGAGGACAACAGGTGACTTTTTCCCTGAAGGAAGCGTTATGGATTATGGACTTGTATTTTGGCCAGAAGCAATAATTTAAAGTTAAAATGCTTTAATGATGGATTTGTTTCTTACAAACACCGCTTTTCACTTCACAAGACATTAACTGATGGACTGGAGTGGTGTGGATTACTTGTGGATTATTGTGATGTTTTTATCAGCTGTTTGGTCTCTC